TATAAATTATCTTGTTTTGTGAACAAGTTTGAAATAAGCTTCCGTTACTTGCAAAGTCGTGGATATTCTACTTTTGTCTTTAATGACAATCCCAATAATGGTTAACATTTCTTGAGCACGTACTTTGTGTCAGGCATGTAAGTGACTTACAGGTTCCAGCTCACTTCCTATATGTTGTTTTTATAAACATCATATACTATTGGTCTAAACATTAACCACCGCTACAATTTAGTTGACAAATAATTGTCAGCATAAATAAGCAGCTCCGGCAATCCATCATTGCCTAAATTCAAATTTGCTGAGTTTGTGTTTCAGTTGATTGAAAAAAATCTGAGCCACTGATGTCACATGAGTGCACGAGTCACGATAGCTGCTCTTCAAGTGAAATAAGTTAAAAAAAGCATTACCTAACCTTGAGCTGAGCTGCCGCCCGGATGGCTCAGTGGATAGAGTGTGCACTCTTAACAAGGATGCTGGGCTTGACTCCCGCATGGGATGGTGACTACTCCCACCCGCAACTAAGATTGAACACAGTAACTTAAGCTTAGAGGCCACGAGCTGCTGACGGGCAGCCAGGTGGCGACTGGCACCCACCACAACAATGATTGAAGAACAACAACTTGGCTGGTCCCCCTTCCCAATTCCCCAACACTGTTCCCCTCCCCCAACCCCCCAATAAAATCTTAAAAACAAAAGTATTACCTAGTGCATTCGTTTTTATTTGTCTTAAGTAAATAACTGACAATGTTCAATTCAACGTAGTCTACAGAAAAAATCCCCCAAACTTGTCCCCTCCTGAAATAAAGGCAGAAAATAAGTGTCCATTTTCTTTATATCGTTAAAAACAAACAAACAAACAAACAAACAATAAACCTCCTTTGGTGAGTGAAGCAGATACACATGCAGTAATCAGATATTCTGAATTCCTGGGTGAGGCTGGGATGGTGTTTTCTGAGGTTTGGAAAGATCAGAGGTTTGTGAGGGTTCTCCAAGGTGACTGTGCAGTTGGCCCTACAGCAGAACTATGTCTGTGACAGGCTGGGCCCCTTTGGGACCTGGGCACTCGCCTCCATGTCCCAGGGGCTGTAACTGTGAGTTATTGTGACTCAAGCCATGTCCTTGGAGGCCTGGCTTCTGGATAACCAATCATCTGTGGATTGTGTTTGCTGCTGCTTCTTTCCACACTTTGAAATCAACAGGAGGATGCAGAGTCCCCGTTCCCACACGCTAGACAGTCATGTTTCCACCCATGGGAGAGGTAAGTGATGGAGTCCCCACAGTGCAGCCAGGCAGCACATGGGGATTTGGAGAATGGCGACACCTGCCTCAGCCCAGCATCATTGCCACAGCACAACCTGAGCTATGGAAGGTGGCATTAGCAGAGCGAAGTCACAGGTCTGCACATCGTGGGGCCCACATGCCCTACATCCCTTTGACTAATGTCTAGCTGCTGCATTTAGACGGATTGATCACAATCAGCTGGCTCGCCTCACAGCTTTCTCAGCAGGTCCAGACACAGCCTCTGCTCGTCCGCCTTTCTCAGTGAACCTCAGTGCAGCTTTGGACAGTGAGGTGTGCGAGGCACATGCCCATCCGCTGCCCCCCCCCATCTGTGCCCTGATCGCAACTCCCACCCACTTAACTTCCCAGCTTTGACCTTGCTGATTTCTCTCTTGGTTTTGGTCTCTCCTCACCCTTTATCCTTTCGATTTGATACTTGGCGCATTTTCCTACACAAACCGTGTTTTTTTCTTTGTTCCATCACCATAATTCTTCATGCCACCTCAGGGAAGTCCTGGGATGCTTCCATCTGGTGAGACCCCAGGGGCCATGGCTCTACTTCCTCTCCCTCTTCCCAAGAAGATTTCCCTCCCCTACAAAAGTTCAAATCTAGCCTCTCCACTCAACAGCCAGGCTGTTTGCAATTTACCTTTCCTACCTGACTCTATAAATGGGGTAGTGGGTGGCGCCCTTTCTCACAAGGCTGCTGTGAGATTTACTGACTATATATTACCAGGGGTTGCGGGGAGAGGGAAAGGCGAGTTACTGTGTAACGGCTACATAGTTTCAGTTTGGGAACATGAAAAGTTCCGGATGGTGGCATGGTAGCACAACATTGTGAAAGGAAACACCTACATGTATATGTCTCCCATTACAGTTTAGTACTCACATGGTAGCTAGCTAATTCTAGAAATGGGGCAGCCTTCACCATTATCCTTCTCCCCAACCCTGGTCTCTTCTCTCAGGTCATGATATCCTTGTCCTGTCTGTTCCAAACCCTTTTATCCCAACCCCACCCTCTTAGCAGTTAGGGGGATACAGACAGGGTGCTCCCCTCCCCTAGTACTGCAGTCTCATTGGCTGCCATCACCATGGCAACACACCGTCTCCTCCTCCATCCACTCACTTTCCAGAGCTGGCAGATTTGTGGAGTTCCAGACTTCTCAGGGCTGGGAGGGAAAAGGAAAGACAGTGGGGGAGGGGAGAGAAGCTCCCCTGACTGCAAAGGCAGCCGCCTGCTTGAGGTTTGCTTGGATTCCAGCCTGGTGTGCAGGGCGACCGCTTGTCTCCCCACGATGAGAAACCATTCTTGTATCCTTAGGCATGCCTGATCCCCTCTGAAATGGGCCAGCTCAGGGCCCGAGGGGCCTGGGTAGAAAGTGGCATGTGGCAGGCATGATAAGCGGTATTGTTCAAACAGAAGAATGGTTTTCATCCTCTGCCCTTGCAGCACTGTTGGGGGATGACACAAGGGTCCCAGTGTGGGTGAGCTGTGAAACCCTCCAAGGCTGTTGGGGTCATTCGTTATTCTGGCCATCCCTGGGTGTGTTTGGTCAGAGGGGGCAGCCTAATGGGTGCTCTCCCTGTCTGAATTGAAGTGGGGTGTTTGGAGATACAAGTCCACGTGGGACCCCTGCAGAACCACACAAAACACTGGGTAGTGAGATGCTAACCAGTGAGTCTCAGCTGTGGGGTGCAGGATGGGGTCAGTGCCAGGGCCTGAAAACCTACTGCCTTCCCAGCCGCCTGCAGAGTGACCACATGACATGCCTTATACGTGTGGTATACAAATGCTCGTTGGTGCTCTTGCAGTTTAAAAGCATAATTTGAAAGCATGGGCTGAATTCAAGGTAACTTTTTGTCATTATGTGTGTTCTCAGTCAGCAGGGGTCTGGTGGTAGAGGGCGAGGGTCCATGACATTGACTGTAGTTGAGCAAACCCTCCTTTAAAAGGGTGAGTTCATGAAATTCTGACACATGCTATGATGTGGATGAACTTTGAGGTCGTTATGCTAAGTGGGATGAGCCAGAAACAAAAGGACAAATGTATGATTCCACTTACATGAGGTAATACATGAGGTAATGAAATCGCCTGTTCTGCACAGGCAAGTTCATTGAGACAAAAGGTAGATTAGAGATTGAGAGGATACAGGGAGGGCAAATGGGGAGTTAGTGTTTGATGGGGACAGAGTTTCAGTTGGGGAAGATGAAAAAGTTCTGGAGATGGATGGTGTGATGGTTACACAACATTGTGAATGTATTCAATGCCACGGAACTGTACACTTAAAAATGGTTAAAATGGGGGCTGGCTGAGTGGCTCAGTTGGTTAAGAGTGTGAGCTCTGAGCAACAGGGTCGCCGGTTTGATTCCCACATTGGCCAGTGAGCTGCACCCGAGCTGAGGTGCCGCTGAGCTGGTGAGAGCATGTGCTCTTAGCAGCAAGGCTGCCGGTTCAACTCCCGCATGGGATGGTGTGTTGCGCCACCCCTACAACTAAGATTGAACACGGCACCTTGAGCTGAGCAGCTGCAAGCTGCCAATGGGTGACCGAATGGCTGAGTAACCAACAAGGTTGCTGGTTTCACTCCCACGTGGGATGGTGGACTACGCCCCACCTCCCGACCCCCCGCAACTAGATTGAAAATGGTGACTGGACTTAGAACTGAGCTTGCGACCTCCACAACTAAGGTTGAAGGACAACAACTTGACTTGGAGCTGATGGGTCCTGGAAAAACACAATGTTCCCCTTCTCCAATTCCCCAACACTGTTCCCCTCCCCAATTCACCAATAAAAATCTTTGAAAAAAATGGTTAAAATGGTAAATTTTATGTTATGTATATTTTACTACAATAAAAAATTACCTCCCTTCCCCCCCAAAAAAGAGGGCGAGGCTAGGCTGGGTGGTGGAGCTCTCTGTACCTGCCATCAGAGTGGAGAATAGAGGACATACCCAGGGAAGCTTTGATAGGGAGAAGCATCCTAGAGAAGGGGGCTCGCTCCACAGGCTGTCTCCCCCTCAACTGCCTCACCCTGCCACCTCCAGCTGCCTGGCTGAGGGTAGGCAGGTTGAAAAGGTTACATCAGGGGCTCCCTGCCCCCATTCCCTGAGGGAACTAAAGAAGCCATCTTGGATAACCCACCACCTTCCCTCAGGGTTCCACCCGTTTAGGAATTTCAGGGGTAGTGATGACCCTCAGATTCCTCCCTCTGGAAGGCCCCCGTGGGCTAGTTGGGTTGTGAGGATGGACAAGCACTGGTCAAACAGCCCCAGCACTGGTGTGGCCAATATCATAGCAAGATGACCAGAGGGAAGCCCTGCTTCCCCCCTCCCCGCCCCCGCCCCGGGAGCCTTGTGCTGCACCCTCCCCAGCTCCAGGCCCTGGGGTGTATGCAGCCCCTTCTTGCCTCTGAGTCACTGTTCAAACCCACCAGCCCTTCTGACAGAGCTGGAAACAGGCACCAAGCCCTCCGGGAAGCTATTTTTAGGATTCATCTGTGCTTTCTGATTTCTCCCTAGATCCCATATTCTCCCACCCCCAGATCTGAAAGGGCTAAAGATTCTGGAAATCATTCATCGTTCCCCCTCTCCAGGGACTCTCTCTCCCTGGGTGGCTTAATTTACAAGCTGTGCCTTCACCCCCACCTTCCCGTACCACTCCCTCTTTCTTTCTTTATCTCCACCCTCACCCTCTGGTTCCCCAACTTCACAGGCAGCATGGAAAGCAGGCTATTTGTCTGACATCATCTTCCCCTCCCTGGCCTGCGAAGAGTTACTCAGGCAATCCCTGGTCCGCCGGAGGAGACTGTCCAATTGCCAAGCAACCCACTGTTGGCCAATCACAGAGCTCAGAGGTGATGTCATGGTGAGAGCTGATCAGTGGTGCTGATGTGGAGAGAAGCCCAGGGTACTACTAATTGAGGGAGTGAGGAAGGGAGCAGCTCGCTTCTAACTGGACTGCAGGTAAGTAGACATGATATACAAATTATTTGAGGCTTTTTAGACAAAAAATACCAAAAAAACAACAGGGGCAGAGAGGAGAAGCAGCAGGGGTCTGGCACCTATTGTGTTGCCTTTTGGTTTCACTCAATCAATTAAACTTTGTCAAATCCTGGGGGAAATGGGGTGAGGAGAAAAGAATGGCTGGGCAGAAGGGTGAGGGTGGGCTCCAGGCGTTCCTTCTATTCCAGAGCTCAGGCTCAGAGGGGACAGGCAGGAATTGCCGGGGTCAGATGTCCACGGCGAGCTTTCTTCTGCATGAAAATGTTTTGGTGATGGAGGAAGAAGGTTTTGTTCAGAGTCCAGCTGCCCTGCAGCTGCCTCTGAGCCCCAGAAGCCTTTTCAAGCTGGAAGCTGCCCTGTGTGTTTTACATTTCTTTTCTCAGCCCCAGCTTTTCTCCTCTCCCTTCCCCATTGTATCATCCTTTTCTTTCTCCTCTATCTACACTGGGTTACTTTTTTCTCTTGGTTCTAAAGAGACAGTGAGATCACCACCTCTTCCTCACCCCGCCCCGCCCTGAGGTCAACCTGATCTTACCTGGGCAGGGTGGCTGGCTGTAAAGCTGCAAACTGCGGGGGACCCACAACTGCCACGCCCTGGTCTCTGCCTGTGGCTGAGCCGAGCCCCTCCTCTCTCAGCCCACCACTCTGGCCTGGAGTTTAGGCACTGTCCTCTTCTTATGTGGGACCTAGGGATTTGTGGCCAGCTCTGTCCCCACATGGTGGTGCTGTCTTTGTTTTATTCCTCCCAGGAAGACACAGGCATGGAGTGGTCCCATTGTCCTGAGAAAGGGCAGGTCTCCAGAACTCCTTGGGAGGCTCAGAAATATTCAGGCTGCTTGCGATGGAACACCGGGGCAGGGACACCCCATGTTTCAAAACCAAGAGAATTGCAGGAGGGACGGCCAGTGGTGGCCTGCTGGAGTCCTGCAGGGCGAGTGGGAGGTTGAGAGGGAAGGTGGGGGAAACTGTCTCTACTGGGGCTGAGGCCCCTCCAGGGGGAGGAAACCTCTCCCACTGGCGGGGAGTCAGGGTGCCAGGGGAATGAGATCATCTGTCAGATGAGGAAATAATCATAGTGCTAGAGCGAGCAGTGAGGAGGCAGAAGGGAAAGGTCTGATCAGGGCAGCTCCAGTCTCCCAGAGACATTGCCAACCAACCCCCCTCTCCTCAGCTCACCCCAAGCCCCCACCTTGCTTTCTGGAACTATGCCTTCAGCCCTCCTTGAAGCCCACTTATCATCACCAGTGCCTGAGCACCTGTCAGTGGGTCCCAGCCTTTTTGGGACAGGTTTGGAGGGAGTGAGGCGCTTTAACTGCTAGATAGATCTGCCAGAGAGCATTGTAAAGAGTGAGTTCCCCATCACAGAAGGCATTCAAGCAGAAGTTGGATGACCATCCAGCAGGGTGGCTAGAGAAGAGATTTTTGCATTGTGTTAAAGATTGGTCTAGATTAATGTTTTTCAAACTGCAGATTGACACCCATTAGTGGATTATGAAATCAACTTGTGGATTGTAACTGGTATTTTTTAAAAAATAAATAGTGTAGAAATAAAAATAAAATAGTGTAGAAAAAAAGTCAGAACACATCTCATATAGTAGAGTAAATAATGTTTCCTGTACTATTTTTTAGTTATATATTTTCAGTTATATATTTATGTTTATATTTCAGTTATGTATATATTCATGTGCATGCATGTCTGTATGTGTACGTATCAGTGACTATATATATGTCAGTATCATGACATATACATACCAGATCATTATATAAAATGTAGCTCTTTATTGTGGGTTCCAGTAAGAAGAAGGTACAAGAAACATCGGGATGAAAGACCTCCAATTTCTTTTTCTAACTATAAGACTGGAAACCTGTGGATAACACTTACTGGACTATGGATTTATTTTTCTATTTTTTTATTTTTAATTGTGATAAAATACACCTAATATGCAATTTGCCATGTTAACCATTGTTAAGTGTACAGTTCAGAAGCATTAAGTACCTTCACATTGTTGTGCAGCTATTACCACCATCCATCTCCAGGACTTTTCTACCTTTTTCCAAACTGAAATCCTGTACCCATTAAACAATAACTCCTAACTCCCCACACCCCCAGCCCCTGGCTGCTACCATTCTAATTGTGTCTCTGTGTGAATTTGACATATAAGTGGAATCCTGCAGTATTTGTCCTTTTGTGACTGGTTTATTTCACTGAGTATAATGTCCTCAAGTTCCACCCATATTGTAGAGTGTGAATTTCTTAAAAGGAGAGCTATCTTGTTCATATGTGTCCCTATTACCAGGCACAAATCAAGTGCCCCAAACCCAAGTATTGTCTTACATGGAAAACTATGTCTCTTTAGAGAGATCTTATTCTAAAGGACCCATCAAAGAGAGACAAGTCTGGTCTCCTGAGCAGACTGTTGAGCAGACACACCATTGGTGGTGGGGTAGTGGGAGTGTCTTGCATTTTTGGCTGAATATCTAAATTCCATTTGGCTCCATAAAAGAAATCCAAGAGCCAAGCGGGGTTGGCTGCCCGCTCTCATCCGACCAGGACATTTTAACCACATTTGCCCTATAAGACAGAGTGGTCCAACTGGTAAGATTTAAAATAGAGTAGCAAAGATTGATGAACTGAGATCCAGAGAGTAACGCAGTGGAACAGGAACCAGGGACAAAGAGCAAAAAAGGAAGAGGGGGGGTGGGGGAGAGAGAGAGAGAGAGAGAGAGAGAGAGAGAGAAGGAGATAGTGTCTACCTTAACCCAACCATACAGAAAGAACAGAAAATTCAGATTGTTTATGTTCCTGATTTTAAATAATTGGATATTTAAAAAAATCAAGATCATAAACAAAGAAGGGCTTAATTTTTCCTGAATCCTTAAGACCCTCTCCCTAGGCTCCCTTGATATTTTTAGATTATTTCTTATTTATCTGGAGATTCCCATTTGGAGACATAGAATTCCCAGAGAGTTTGAAGTCATGGGTGGGTAGAAATTAGACTTTTTTGGAGGGTGGGGGAGATAAAAATTTGGGGGGAAATTATAAAATATGCAAAATGTAATTTTTATAATGCCCTCTAGGGGACCAAACTCTCTCTCTCTCTCTCTATCTCCTCCCTCCCTCACTCCCTCCCTCTCTGGCTTGGGAAATAAACATTTATCATGTACAATTTAGTTTGCTTATTAAGTTAGAAATTTGCTATATTTAGAGATGTGCTAGTCTGGAAGAGGTTACTTTTTCTGTTTTTCTTTGGGGAGGAGTAAGGAAAAAACAATCTGTCCTGCCATTTTAAAAGCACTTTTTCCCCAGGTTTTTGCATTTTTAGTCCCCACTAGGAAGATAGAAAGACACACAGATGTAGGTATATTACCCCCACCTCCCCCACTCCTCTCTTTCTTCTCTACCAAAGCTCACTGGCCTTTTTCATCAATTACAACTGACAGCCAGCTGTGTGTCCACCCCCTGAGGGTCCTGCTGTCAGAGGTAGGTGGTGGGGGGCAGGAGGAAGAACAGATCAGAAGGGGCAGGAGTCTGGGGTGGTTGGCCTAATTTATGACAGGGCACAGGCAATCTGAGCATAGACTCTAGGGGGAAAGACCCGGTGGGGGAGGAGGGGGTTAGAACGCGGAGTTCCGGTGGATCATTTGGGTGTTGGTACCCAGAAATCCAGACCAGATCGAGAGCAAGGATCAAAATGAGTACAGTAGTCCCCACTCCCCACCCATGGTTTTGCTTTCCTTGATTTCAGTTACCCTCAGTCAATAGTAGCCTAAAAATATTAAATAGAAAATTCCAGAAATGAACAGATCATCAATTTTAACTTATGCACCTTTCTGAGTGGCATGCTGAAATCTCACGCCATCCGCTTCTGTCCTGCCCGGGAAGTGGCTCATCCCCTTCTCCAGTGTCTCCACGCTGTATTCGCACCCCGCCCGTTAATCATTTAGTAGCTGGCTTGGTGATTAGATAAACTGCCGAGGTATCACAGCTTGCGTCCAAATTACCCTTATTTTCCTCAATAATGACCCCAAAGCTCAAGGGTAGTGATGCTGGCAGGTCAGATATGCGAACAAGAAGCCGGAAAGTGTTTCCTTTAAGTGAAAAGGTATGTATGTATAGGAAAAACCATAGTATATGTAGTGTTTGGTGCTATCTGCACTGTCAGTCATTAACTGGGGGTCTTAGAGCTTATTCTCCATGGCTAGGGGAGGACTGCTGCATGTGGAAACAGGTGGAGAGGCTGTGTGCTGCAGCACACACTCCACTTGACTGTTGATACTGGGACAGGTCTGTCTTCTGCACCTACCACCAAACCGGAATTCAGGACCCGAAAGAAGTCCTTTCTAGAAAAACATCACTCCAGGAGTAGTCTAGCTAATACTTTCTTGAAAAGGAAAAATGTTTGTTTGTTTGTTTTTTATCAAATTAGAGAATTCAAGTACAAAAAGGATATTGATAATGGTCACGAAGAAAGAAATCACTAGAATTTAGAGTCATCCAATCATAATCAACACGTTTATAAAGCTGAATGCAACTGTCAAATGACTTCAGACTACAGAATATGTCTATTAAAATCACCATTGTTTTTCCTCCTAGCACCTCGCATAGAGCATATAGTAGGTTCTCAATAAAAACAGAGGGTGCCAAAAAAAGTATACACATTTTAAGAAAGGAAAAAAACTGTATTAAAATTGTAAGATTCAATATATACTAATAACAAACGATGAATACAAGTCACATTTGACTTCTGCAGTTACAAGAGGTGCTCAAAGTGGTTACCATCAGTGTAATTTTAATACACTTTTTTCCTGCCTTAAAATGTGTATACATTTTTTGGCACCCTCTGTATTTGTTGAATGACACATAAAAAAGAAATCAATAACTCTAATTCAGAACTGAAAATCTAGATCATTCTGACAAAACCAGGAGGTTTGTAGGGAAAGGAAGTAAAAGAATACTAAAT